TTTCAATTTTAATTATAAATACATTTATTTAATTATTTAGTTTCAAAGTCACACATATACATGCACACACTGTACGACACTTGTAACTTTAACTTTAATTAACTTTAGACATTTATATGTGTATGTGTATAAGTGTATGTGTAGTATGCATATGATGCTACAACATTCAGTCAATTTATTGCAACAAAAAAAGTTTATTTAAAAAAAAAAGTATTTATATATATATATAGATGAGCAGAGCAAGGCAGACAGACTATCCATTTGGTTTGTTGTTTGGGATTATACACGAAATTAAATTCTATAAATTGTGTTTAATTTGGGCAGCCCAACAGAGCTTGAAAACAATTAAAGCTGCATGCTGAGCGAAATACAAATGCAAATGGCAATCCGAATCGAAATTCAAATGCAAAATCCAAGTTCAAATGTTGTGCAGTCAAACACAAAATGAGTTGCTTCCGCACTGATATGCCAGCTGTGCGAGAGAGAGAGGGAGAGAGAGAGAGGGAGAGGTGAGAGGGCGTGGCAGACAGTCAAGGGGAGTGTCACGTTTGGTGCGTCATAAATTTCGCATTATTGCGCGCGTATTCGTGCATAGATGCTCATGCATTTCGGTTAATAAAAACCCCAATGCACAAAGAAAAAGCGAGAAGCGAAATAAAAACAGTATGCAACGACAGCAAACAGCATTACAACAGCAACAACAACAACAGCAACAATAACAGTAGCATCAGCATAGAAAACAAAAAAAGAGACACATGCAAACACACACACACACAGAGACATTTTGATGGGCAACATGGCGTATGCTTAACCACATCCGACTACACACTTCCGCGCATTTGGTGTAACAAAACCGCGCGCTGGCTGTTAACAAATGACTCGATGTGGTCGCCGCCTTTGCCAACGCTGCGGATTGGACCCACAACAACAACAGCAACAACAACAGCTGGAAGAGCAACAAGAGCAGCTACATCAAGTTAGAGTGGTCTGGTGGGGAGTGTGCGACTTGCTAATACCCTGCGTAGATATAGAAAATATTATTGACTTAAGTGTGTATTGTGTGTAGATAGACTTGGCTAATTTGTATGTGCAGCTATTGCATTTGAATGGACATATCTGAATCGATTGTATCGATACTTATCGATAACATACAGCACATAGTATCATTTGACTAAAGTAGGATTTTTAAGTGTAGCTGGTTCTATTATCATCTATTATCTATTATCTATCATCTATCTTCTCTCATCTCTCATCTATCTATCATCTATCATATATCATCTATCATCTATCATCTATTACCTATCATCTATCATCTACTACCTATCATCAATCATCAATCATCTATCATCTGTCATCTGTCATCTATCATGTATCACCCTCACCTGTAATCTATCATCTATCATCTATCAAATATCATATATCTATCTTTCAAATAAGGAAGCAAAACTTTGCCCAATTTAGACTTTCAGTTCTTAAAATCAGTTCCCTATTAAAACCCATCAACAGATCTTGCCAATGGCAAGATGCCAATGGCTGTTCTGCCAATGGCTGTTCTGCTAGTTTCTGCTAGTTTTCAACAGCATTTGGGGTCCTTCCCAATTGGCTTCTATTGTGCACCATTTTTTCAATTTGCTTGCATTTACCTTCTAATAGCTCCCAATATCATTTCATCAACATTATTTCCCTTCATTCATTCCCCAATAGACACCCTATCAATTGCCGGCAGCTCTCATCTATGGTAGTTGCTCTCATCATTCGCTTACTGTGAATTTCCAGGTATTCCGCTACAGTCGACTTACGAACACCGTTCAATTCCATATTTCATATGTTTTCTTCCATGAGATTCCAGTTGCTTGGTAGTAGCACTCTTTCCTTAGTTTCTCTCTCCAATAGTTTTCAGTCACTGTTCAGTAGGTCACAATCGATCAGTTTTCAGTAACAGTTAGTATAGTTCAAGTCATATTCTTGACTCTTCATATATATGAATATCGTATCTGAATATTCAGGGAAATGATAATAAACTGTGCGCAGAGCTCCTTCAACACTATTTAGATATCATTCAACGTATTTCATTAAATTTCCCATATACATCAATTCTAGGCTATCATTTCAAATACCCGACAGACACTCTCCATACTTAATACCCCAATTCACGTCTCCTCCTACCCGTTACACACACTTGCACCAAACCCATCTACCCCATCTGTGTGTACGCTCACTTCAATGAGTTGAGGGTATGACAACTGTGGATGGTGCTGTGGACAACGCTCTCTGGCTGATTGCAGATCTGTAATGACTCATTTCACATGAGCATTTTCGTGGGCTCGGATGGCGGGTGGTGGCGTTGGTTTTGTTGGGTTTGTGGGCTGACTGGTCGGTTTTCCCGTATGGGCGCTCTGGGCACCACTGGCTCTCACATTAAATCACATTCAAATAGCGCGTCGCGCGGCTGCTGCATCAGCACTTGGCATTAGCGACGCTGCCAGCTAGCTGGCCAACAGTTTTAAGTTGCAAATTACAACGGCATGTCGTCGTTGTTTTATACCCTGGCCAAAGTGGAGAGTCGGGCGCACTGTTTGCACTTGTGTTATAATGTAATGCTCCGCTCCCTCCCGGCTCCTGCTGCGGCAGCTGTGGTCAGAGTGCAGCCATTAGTCGCCGCCAAAAATGAAATCTATGCTGCCTCTAACCGTACGCGTGGTTTCGCTACTCCTGCCCCCGCAGCCAATTCGACGTGCGCGTTCTTTAATTAGTCGCACAGGCAAACACAGCGTAAAGAGTCCGGCTGGGTCTAGCTCATTCAACCGCACGAGAAGATTTTGTGGACGTTGGCGTCAAAGGGTTATCGCAACGCCTCCCACTTCCCGCCTCCCACCTCGCACTGCCTCGGCCAACTGTAATTGACCTAAGTACGCGAACACCTCAGGGTCTAATGCGCCACGCCCCCCACTCAAATGCCCACACGCTGCAGCTCTGCAGCTATGCAGCTCTGATGGCAACATGTTTCGTTTATGCATTGCAGCACTGCAGGCGCATGTTCCCATTAAATGGTCCCTGTCCATGGGCGTGGGAGCCAAGGGGGCGAGGGGACCATAATGTCGCCAACTCCAAGTCTATGACCAGTCATGATAGGCAGTCGGGGGACAAGTGACAAGAGCACGTCCTATTAGACGTCATGTAAACAGAAGGGACGCATGGATGGAGTACTCGAACTAAACGCTTTAAATTCCCAAAGTGTGTGCTTGGACTGCGGCTAAGTATGCGGCAGTTATAGTTATGAGAATGCGAACATTTAAGGAGCTAAGGTAGACGTGTGATGGCCCAAAGCAATTCATATGAATAGGCGAAGAATAAAGACTATAAAAAATTTAAGAAATTTATACATATTATCAAAGAGATTCTTATTTCGAAAGCTGGAAGAGTATAACAGCTATCTAAGAGATCAATATGTATATCAATGTTCCCTGACTTTTTTACATGCAAGACGTAATTTACATAACATATAATATAAAATAAAATATACCATAAATATTGAGAATTTTATGTTATTCATTTTATTAGGCTTTAAAATTTCTCTGCAAATTTTTTAAATATTTTTTGTGTTCAGCAATTGATTTTTTTTTAATTTTTTTTAAAATTTTTTTTTTTAAAGTATATAAATAAAATGTTAGTTAACGCAAAATTGAAAATATATATATATTTT